TCTGATGCCAAGTTCATCATTATTTTTTAGCACCATGTTTATTTCCAATTTGACCTTTATACTAATTAGAGTTTGACCCTGGAAAGCCAACTCACTTTCTGTCTTCACACTCTCAGCCAAGGCTAGACAATGTTATTATGCCTTTATTCCCAGCAAGAGGAATATTGGGATTTTCTAAAAGAGCAAACCCATAGGTAACCTATTACAAAACTATACACAATCAATAGCTAATTTCTCTGCATTGATTACTGCTTGGACATTTAGCACACACCCTTTGGCAAGTCACTGCTACACAGACGTGCATGTGTGTGTGTGTGTGTTTGTGTGTGTGTGTGTGTGTGTGTGTGTGTGTGTGTGTGTGTGTGTGTGTGTGTGTGTGTGTGTGTGTTCACTCCCCATTGGCTCGCTGAGTATTACATTCATTGATTTCATGAAGAGGACTAAAAATGTCAAACTGTTCATTAATCTTAATAAAGACTGCTGAAGACCAGAGAGTCTCTCTTTGCTCTGGGCAAGGATGCAATTCATGTAGAAGAACAAACATTATACACCACTTTCCTGAGACCCAAAAGCAAAACAGCAGTATGAACTGACTTGATCAAAACATAATCCTGTCCACGATATTTGAATGACCATTATACAAAAGTGTGGTGACAGTGAGTGAGGCATACAATGAAATTATTTTTAAATATTAAGTACACTTTTTACGTCTCATAGCTGCATAATTATTATTATTATAGATGGCACTGTGGCCTCGCAGTAAGAAGGTTGCTAATTCGGGCCTCGGTTGGGCCAGTTGGCGTTTCTGTGTGAAGTTTGCATTTTCTCCCAGTGTTGGCATGGGTTTCCTACAAGTGCCTTCAGTTTTCCCCACAGTCCAAAGACATGCGCTATAGGTGAATTGAATGAACTAAATTCACTGTAGTGTATGAGTGTGTGTGTGTGAATGACAATGTTTATGGGTGTTTCCCAGTACTGGAAGGGCATCCGCTGCATAAAACATATTCCGGAATAATTCAAATATTGTTTTGAAATAGAGGCCCAATCCCAATTTTATTCTTGTTCCCCTACCCCTTCCCCTTGAAACCAAGTGTAAAGGGGTAGAGCTTCAAAATTAACGTTGAAGTAAGCGGCGTTCGTCTGACAGGTCCATCTGCAATAGGACCCTCCCAATGGATACTGGATAAGATGAAATGGCCAAGCATCCAGCCCAAAATATACAATCTCATGAAACTCATGAAGTGATTTTACAAGAGAGAAGTTAAAGGCCTGCATTCTATTATTACCAGATTCAAAACTTTGTAAAATCCGAGGTTCTGCCTAGCCAAAGACAAGAAAAGATGACGGAACTGTACAAGGCCTGGGTAATCATCAACAAGCAAAACAACTGCATTCTGACAGCGAACTGCACCTGTATGGCAGGGTATGTGAACTTACACTTTCATTTTTCATTTTTAGTATTCAGTGTCCGCAGTTTAATTCACCATATTTAACTGTTTTTGCTGAAATCATTACTGCAATCAAAAAATGAGTGATGTGTATGATTCAGCATAGCGTGAAATTATCTGATATAAAAAGAGAACTGCAGAGTCCAGCATTTTTAATTAGGTCCTCACTCCATTCAGCTCCCTTTTAACCAAAGACGTCTGCGGTTGGTCTTAAAAGCAATGTGGTGAATGGTAAAAGTTAAGGTAAGCATTCAGTACATTGTTAATCTTTTTTATTATAATGGGAAAGTGTAAATTTTTGGAAAAAGATGCAATACTAGCTATTCTTATGGACTATAAGTCATACACTTTAGTGGGCATAACAAACAAAAAGTATTTTAAAAGTAAAAAATGTTTTTAATGTATAACCTTAAATAGTTTTCGCTCTGGTCTCTTATTTTTTTATTATTATTTAATTTTTTTATTTTTTGTTTGTTTTTCTTTCTTCTTTTTATTCTTTAAATTGTATTATGCAGATTGTAACACATCTCAATTTTTTTCGAAAGTTCCAAGTTTATGCAATCTATTGTTAACTGTTATTGAAACAACAACAACAACAACAACAACAACAACAACAACAAAAATATCCTTGAAATTTAAAACTGCAAAGCTTTACCTGACTGACGTTCTAGAACAACAGTCCAAAAAACAACACCAGCAAAAATAGCACCATCTTGTGGCTGGTAGTCGAATCTCATTCATTCTTCCTTAAAGAAAAAAAAAAAAAAAAAAAAAGGTAATATGGCAAGCCATTTTAACATTTAATCAACAGGCCCGTTGCCAACCTACTGAGCTTTTTGCAGTTACTCCAGGCCCGGCGCTACGGGGGGGCAAAGGGTGGCATTGCCCCCTCAGACAGAGTTTGTGCCCCCCCAGTTTTTATAAAGGATTGTTCACTCAAACTGAAAATTCTTTCTGTCATTAATTATTAACACTCCCGTCCTTCCAACCTTCAGAACACACATTTAAATATTTTAAAATATATGACATAGCAATTAAATTATGAAAATGGTGAGGTTAAAGCTAGTCCTATAGTCCAGAGATCCGGTCCCCGCGTCAGGTCTGGTGCGCCCGTAAATAGCCTTTAAAACGCGCACACGGCGATGGAGGCGCACTCAACTCACAAGGGAGAAAATGGGTGACATGATAGGAGCAGCTTGATTCATTACATGTTTTGGTTAACTAATTATTTAAACACAACTCTCTTGAGCTCTAAAAGGAAAAAACACATAAGAAATTTGCTGTTAAATTAATTTTAGCAGAGACGCAACTGCCAGTCATTTATTAGTTATTCGGGAAGATGTAGCCTAATAAAAATGTTTTAATAAAAATAAATAGTTTACTGCACAGTCCCACAGTAGGCTACACTATAAATAATATTTTAATTTATTTATTAATATTATTATTAATATTATTACAATTAAGCTAAAATTGACAAAACGCAGAACCCTTTGAATGTTTGCTTTCATTTTGCTGAAAAGTGCACTTTTACAGTTGCGTAGAGAAACATCCCATTATGCAACTGCAGTCAAGGTATAACACATAATAAATGCATTTTGCGTTTAAAGATGATCGGCCTGCGAAGTCAAGTTTGCAGTGTTATAAATGGAATAGGTATAGTGCTTAAGTGGATTTACCGCGGATCAACCGAGAAATCTCGTGCGCTGCAGGTAGGCAGAATGATAATCTTTTAAAAATATGTAACTTAGGCTATACTGCTATTTGCGCATGCAAAATTAAACAACATAAAATATATTGTAGATCTGTTTTAAGACTTTAAGATCTGTTTTGACTTAGCTCATGGCCCTAAAATGAAAATAACCTGAAAACAAGCTATTAAAAAAGGCCTAATAAATAAAATAATTAATAAATAAAATGACGGGTAGGCCTAGAAACTATGGTACATATGGTTTATGATGGTTTACAATATCACGAAAAAAGCACATTTATAATAGCCTTAGATAAATCTTTGTTTTTACATTTAAAATGATGAAAAAAAAGTTATATAGCATATAAAAATTTAACCAATTTTCACGGTAATAACTGTGAATTTTTGTATCTTTTTTTAGGTATTTTTCTGGCTACACTAATGCCTTAAAATGTAACTAAGTAATTGTTTTGAATGACATTAGATTGTCACATTTAGCTTTTCCCCAACACTGATGTTGGTTGTGAAGCGTGATGACTCGGTTAAGCTGATTTCACTATATTTATTTACCGGTTAAATGAATTGTCTGATCGTGGGTCAGCTTGCATGTGTGGGCATAATTTGACGTCTTTACCTAAAACTTTAAACATTCATAGGGCTGTTATTTGAAATAAAACGGAAATAAGGAGAATAACATATGATTTAAAGCACTCGTTTGGCACCGAAGCCATCATCCGTCTGCATTAATAAGCGGTATGCATTACCATCGTTAATAAAATTCGTAATAGCGAAACTGCGTATTGTTATTACTATTAAAACGTAGCCTATATTACTGCCTTAGGTCAGTAACTTAGGCAGTAATGCAAAGTAATAATAAATGCGAATAAATAGCCTAAATGAAAGAAACAAGAGACCAAAATCAGTCACCAGGTCTAGTGCCCCCCTATGGATTTAAAGTGCCCCCTCAGTTTTGACTTCCTGGCGCCGGGCCTGAGTAACTCTCCTCAATTTCTTTTCAATTATGAGGGTCAAATGGTGCATTTAAGTGACATTTTAAGCACTGATCTTTGCTGCGTAGCTTGTTGGATGGTAACCACATGCAACAAATATTTTTCTTATAAGTTATTATGAGATAATAATTAATGTAAAAAAAAATAGATAAGTATGAAAAAATACTTATTTTTAAAATACAAGTTTATTAGCATGTATTATTGATAACAATAATAAACAATTAGGAATCTAACACTTATTCAAAACCAAATAAAACATATTTGTAGCCTGTAGGCAAATTATAAAATACATAACTACATTTAGCCTAGTAGGCCTCTCTATTTTCATGCTTCAATTATTTTTAGAGTACTGTAACTTAAGTTAGTTCTTTAATTGTATTCATACATTCGTTCAATGCTAGAATTTATCAAGTAGCTGTATTTATTTATTTTTTTAATAAATATTATGAATAAATACTGTGGTGACTAATACTATTGTATTGCTACTAACATTTAATTGTTTAGGTTAATAGTAAAGAAGTGGATGAGCCCTTCAGGTCGGAATTCACCCTTAGCCTAGTTCTTCCACTCTATTAGTACAATACATGTTAAAACAGCTTGCCATTTTCGTTGTAGTTGTTTGAAAGAATGTTGAGATAATAATCTGAAATTAATATCACATTTATAAAAATAATGCTGAATGAGAACAGCCAATGGTTAGCCCAGTCGTAGTAAGATAGTAATCATAGATATGGTTAGTAATATTAATAATACTGATGATAATAATATTAACAACAACAACGTTAAAACAATAAGTACATGACAAAATTTGTTAAAGGATATTATTTTGAAAACGGATGTGACGTCAGACTAACAGTTACAGTAATACGCACACAACACAAAACACTTATGTGTTGTTGCAATATGCAATCTTTAGTATTTACCAATGGTCTTTACTAACCAGGAAGCGTCACGCCTTCATCCTGCGTACATGATTCAATCCCACTTGGCAAACGAGAACGAGAACTTGCATGCAGGAAAATGCAAAGATCAATCAAAGAGCTGAGTGTTCGTTATGACCCGATCAACGAAACCAATACTTTTACTAATGGAGACATAGTGGAGGGGCGAGTTGTTCTGGAAGTGACCAAAGAAATAAACGTGGAGAATTTGTTTGTGAAGCTGACGGGCGACGCGGACGTGCGCTGGACTGAAGGCTCAGGGGATGACGAAAGATCCTACAGCGACCATGAGAGATACTTTAAACAAAAGCAATATTTTATCCAGGACAGCTCGAAGAAAGGTGAGATTGCTTGAAAAACGAAATACTGTCATCTATATTAGGACTAACGTTATTAGGCTGCTAATTCAGTTAAAATGCATATGGAGTATGCTGTGCAATCTGTGTAACAAGTTTGGGAAATAATAAGACTGCTACTGGTCTAATGCCTGCAGGACAATGTGAAAAGAATACCACACTTGTAAGTGGAGAAACTTGTAAGTAAAGTTTTCAATAATATTTTGCACTAATAAATGATGTAATATTAAACAAATAAGTACAAGCTATGCGTGACCCTGAACCACAAAACCAGTCTGAAGTTACACGTGTGTGTGTGTATGTGTGTGTGTGTGTATATATATATAGTGTGTATATATATATATATATATATATATATATATATATATATATATATATATATATATATATGTATATGTGCCTGAAATTATTCAAATAATTTCCCTTGGGGTATGAATAATTTCGGGCCGGAAATATATCCATATATAAATATGGATAAATTCTCAGTTTGGATAAATTCTCAGTATGGATAAATTCTAAAATTTTTTACCCTCAGATTTTAGATCTCTGACAAATATTGTAATAAAAAAAAAACTACATTAGTAGAAATGGAATGGTCTTGTGGTCCTGGGTCAATTAATTATTATATAAAAAGTTACATGAGACATTTTTGCTGCTGACAGTAGACTTACTAAGCTAAGGATGTCCTATATTCCTCAGATGGATCAGTGATCAAACCAGGAAGTCATGTCTTTCCATTCAGATTTCAGCTGCCTCAACAGTGAGTAATGCTACTGAAACTTTTCTTTCATTTAAAATGCATCTTCAATGATGGTTGCTCTGTGTTGAGTAATACACTGATGAGCCAAACATTATGATCAGACACAGATGAAACAAACATTTTTGAACTGCTAACAAGGCCACACATTAAGACTAGGGTATAAGCAATCAGTATTAATAAGCAATGGGTAGGAAGATCAGAGATCAGAGCTATTTTCTCTCGGGGTTTGTAATGTTATTGGCTGCAGGGCGCATGACCAAGTTAGCTTTTTTACTTTTTCTAGTTGGATAAGTAAAACAGACTCAGTGGTAATAAAATCTATAATTTTGGAAACAGAAACCACACAACACTTTCAGGGGTCTTATAGAGTCCATGTCTCAGCTGGTCAACCAGCAACATATCTGTTATTTAGGCTCATAATAATTCGGCCTCTTAATGTGTGCATGTAGTGAAATAAAAAGTCCACAAACAAAATATACAAAGCAAATATGAAAGAGCATACAACTGCCGCATCCTACTTTCCTGCAAGGTTCCATCATGATATAATGAAAGAGAAAAATGAACCCAATTTATTATAATATTCTTCTACAAAAAAAAAGCACTTGTGGGTGAAGCATTGGCGCAGTAGGTAGTGCTGTTGCCTCACAGCAAGAAGGTCACTGGGTCGATCCTCGGTACAGTTGGCGTTTCTGTGTGGAGTTTGCATGTTCTCCCTGCGTTCGTGTGGGTTTCCTCCTGGTGCTCCGGTTTCCGCCACGGTCCAAAGACATGCGGTACAGGTGAATTGGGTAGGCTAAATTGTACATAGTGTATGAGTGCTTGTGGATGTTTCCCAGAGATGGGTTGCGGCTGGAAGGGCATCCGCTGCGTAAAATGCTAGATAAGTTGGCGGTTCATTCCGCTGTGGCGACCCCAGATTAATAAAGAGATTAAGCCAAAAAGAAAATGAATGAAAAAAGCACTTGTTACTCATATTCATTGTTCATTATTCTAGAATATTTACTTAAGTAATGAGGTGCATGTGTTGAGTTAAGAAGACATAAATTAATAATGCATGTATGTTAAAACTTTGAGTAAAAGCTGATGCATATTCGATCATATTATTCACCATTGTGCTTGTCAGTAATTTTTTTTTCCCCCCTAATTTCAGAAATATGCCTCCCGACTTTTAAAGGATTTCATGGTTGGGTGAAGTACATTGTGATGGTAAAGCTAAAAAGGTCTTGGAAGCCAACATCAAGTGCACAAGCAGAAATTAACTTTGCGCCCAGAAATTTTGGGACCAATGACCATTTACTGGTATGATTTTTAATACTATGATTGAGTGTTTGATATTGAGATTATTTATTGCATACACTGTCATCAATTATTAATTATATAAAACTTTCTGCTTGTAAAATTATTAAAGAGTAAATTTAATATGTTTGTATATAAATATATTTATTTATTTATTTTTTGTCTTTAATACAGCAACCACAATCTGGTACAGAAGACAAGAAGATGAAACTTTTTGGCTCAGGAAAAATGTCAATGACCGTAACAACGGACAAAACAGGCTACATGCTAGGTGATGATTTTTTCTTTGTCCAAACTCTTGACACTGTTTAGTAATGCCAACAACTTGGTTATGCTTATATTTTACAATCCAATGTTGACAGTTATGCCTTATACTGCATTGGTTTATTAAGTGAAATTGTTTTTTGACATCTAAATAGTGGGTTTATGGTTTCAGTAAGTTAAAAAAAAAAAAAAAATTCTTGAGAAATGTTTTTTTAAGCTTAATTATTACTCCATAAAATACCCCTAGAAACAGAACGTCCATGATTGTCCATGATATGGCTCGTGTCATGAATATTAATGAGCTCCGCTACTCTTCTAGACTCACACACACAGAGCATGGTGTATGCTTAACACAGATAAATATAAACCCAATCAGAGTAGCGTAACCTATTTTGCTCGCCAGATCTGTTCTGGATAAAGGCTAAATAATAATTAAACTTGACATAAGAGAGTGATAGAGATGTTTGGTGTTAGATTTTGAAGCTAGTCAAAGAAAACACAGCGAGGACTTAATATCAAGCAAAGTTCCTCAAGGCAAGTCATTTTACTTGGCGGCTGCTTTAAAACACCTCTCGGCAGTATGCTCGACCATTCTGTCTTAATGGGGAAACATCAAATTCTCCAAAACTGCTTGCCAAGCTTACGATTGAATTTCAATTAGGAATCACCAATGAAATTAAACATCAACTGTCTCTTTAGTTTCATTTTTAAACATCCAAATCACACAAAACCTACAGAAACTCACAACTTGTCCGAGCCCCTTCCCTGCAGTATTGTCAATCTATAGAGATTGATGATTGGCTCCTGTACTAAAGACAGGCTTTATTCGCTATATAGCGATTAATGATTGGCTCTTGTACTAGTAGGCGGGGCTGTAATCACCATGTTGATTGTTACACTTTTCCACATTTAATAAGATAAGAGTAACATGTCTTGTGTATCCTATAGTATTTGTATCAACCTCTGCCTGACCAGATGACAGGTGAGCAGAGTGATTGTACACGATTCAGCAGTGTACAAGTTTGTGTTGAAACATACGCAACAAATTTCACATTAAACATGATAAATATACTAAACTCTAGCCTCTTCGCAGTGGAGATGAATCAATGTTTAATCTTTAAATCTTGCATTTTGCACCCTGAGGCCAGTTTGAATGTGCCTCGTGCTGTCGGTGCCCAGTAAAACACAGTAAACAAAATGGTGCTCACGTTTTAAAAATAAAAATTGTATTTGTGGTAGATTTGCATTCAGTTATAACCATACACAAACATGGTAGTAATATATTGAAACTTTTACTATTGCTATAAAACGGTTTGGGAGGATGTTTACTATTGCTAAATTTCACCATACTTTGCTTTACTATGTAATAATAACATCAGCATATAGTAAGTAGGGCTGCAACTAACTATTATTTTAATAATCGATTAATCTGTCTATTGTTTTTTTTTTTTGATTAATCGATGAATCGGATAAAAAAAGGAAAGCAATCATTTCCAACCATTTATTCCAAAAGTTCATTCCTAAGCTGTTATTCTTTTACTACTAATAGTACTACTACTACTACTACTACTACTACTACTACTACTAATAATAATAATAATAATAATAATAAAATAAAAAAATAAGTAGTTTTGTAATGTTTTCAATCCAAATATCTAAATATTTTTAAATCAAGATATATATACTAGACACATGAAATAGCATAAGAAATTGTCTTGTTTTCTAAAAAAAAAAAAAAAACACCTAAAAATTAAGTGATTGTTTGCTTAAAACAAGTTAAATTATTTGTGAATTGGGTAAGAAAAATAATCTTAATAAGATATTATCTCAAACAGAAGTTTTACCAGTTCACATAAACGTGTAAGTGATAAAGATCTATAATGTGAGATGGTCGTCGCCATGCTTACTTGCGGCCACGCGCATGCCTCATTCATAAAAAGCAGAACTTGCAGGATTCAGCATGTAAATTCCCCAGTTACTCCCCAAATACATGCAAATGGCTGGTGAACTTGGAGAAAAATAGATTCAACTTTAGTTATTTTGACTGTGTGTAATGCGTATCTGATATGAATAAAACACATCTGCATATTATATTTGAATGGATTGTTAGACTCTCTTGTGTGTTTTACAAACTCTAAATGTTTTGTTTTACTAGTACTTGTGTGTATTTCCATGTCTAAAACATTAATTCAGTATTAGGCGATTAAAATGCTGCACAATTATGATAAAATGACACATCTTTCTCAGCGGGGGTTAAGTTGGTTTTATTTTCGAAAAAAAGAAGCACTTTTCCGACGGCCCCTTACTGAGAGCTCTGCTCAGCGCGAACTCTGCCTCAGTGCTAGACATCACGCCAAAGCTCAGTTTGATTTTCTCAGTTGCCGGTCTAAAGGTAAACAAGCTAACGCTAACTTGTCATTCTTGTCAAGCTGGATAACGAGTAAAACACCAGCACCAGGGACTTTACAGTCCTCCCTTCAAAACAGAACAAAAGTAGGATTCTAGAGATTTACCCTTTTGTTGCTCCCTTCCTCCTCACGAACTCTGAACATGGTCTCTCTCACGCACTGATACACTCTGCTCCAGGCTCAACTAACGTATTTTTTAAATAATTACATGACCCTGTGTCGCGCGACAAAAGGAATCAATTATGAAATTCATTGCCACCGCTTTTAGTAATCAATTTTTATCGATTTAATCGATTCGTTGTTGCAGTTCTAATAGTAAGTGAAATATACACTTAAGACTAATTGAGGGAGGAAATTATTTTGTTGTCTCACTAGAAAATATTGCTTATTAAATGCAAAAGGAGGTGTGCATATCAATGATCTCAAAGCTTTTTTTATGATCTCGAAGACTGATGACTTGGCTGCTCGTCAGGACCCAAATTAGGCATACATGCAAATGCAGAGGGCATGGCCCATGAGTCTCGTCACAGTTTGTTTAGTCCTCCCATTGTCCACCGGAGCTTTACACTCTTGGAATTTACATGGGAACGAGGAAACAGTGGTGTCAGAGGTTCACAGTATGCCCATTTCCATACACTGATGTTTATAATATACTCTCTATGCCTTGGTACACCCTGATTTTCACTATAGTGCACCTTTAAGGCAGGGCTCCGGAACTTTTTTCAGCAAAAATACATTTTAGATTTTTTGGGCTAATGCACATCATTTTTAAATATATATCATATGTTGAGCAAGTCCGTAAATGAAGAAGGGACAATTTATTTAATTTCTGGTTAATAAAGAACATACAGGCACAAAATACAGTGTACGGTTCGTAACACTATTATTAAAAAAAAAAAAACTATTGAACTATTTAATTTTGGCCCCAAACAACAAATCGCTGGTGTTAATTTACTGATCTGCACGCTCACTATCTCACTTGCCATCTTGACAGCACAGTCGATCATGCATAGTTCTGGCAGACAGGGCCACCTTTTTTCATTTTCTGAATTATTTGTTTCTTGTTTGGAAAATCCGCAAACAGTTCAGTTGCCATACTCGGCATAGTTGCCATCCATAAAGGGTTTCCCCTGCTTTTCAATCTGCAATGACCAAGCAAAACATGCAGCTTTCAGACTGCTAAATGCTCCTGCAGCTGTTTCTCTCCGGTTTGCAGTTTATGTCGGTGCTCCTTCACATGCCTTCTTTCGGCTTTCGCTTAGCGAGTGTCTCTTAAGAAAATGAGGAAATGCTTTCTGTGCAGGTCAGACAGAGCAGAGCACCTGAGCTTTTAATAAAACCAATGCTTCTGTTCTTTTATTTAGAAACTTTGTTCTTTAGAGTTTCTTGTGTTTGCCATCACCACTTATAAGTGTTGTTTGAATTTACGTGCACGAGGTTATCATAGAAACGGATGTTGATTAATCTTCTTGATTCAAGGTTATCCACAGCGCCACACACTATTGGTCAAAACATCATGGGTTTTTATTCATTTTGCTATGAAAAAACAATAAAGAAGGAATTGTAAATGTATTTTCATCAGGAAATTTCTAGTGACAGTTATCGTTTTTTCTACAGTAAAATATTTTTCAAGGGAGACAGCTGGAGAGCCATGTATTTTTGCTCAAAGAGCCATATGTGGCTCACGAGTCATAGGTTCCTGACCACTGCCTTAAGGTGTGCAATTATTTTCAGGGAATTGCGCAGTTAAAATATTTCCAGGCAAGTCTTGACGGCGATACAGTCGCATATCACTTTCCTGAAAGATTTCAGTTATTACACAGTCAGAAAACCCCCAAAAACGATAGACTTTGGTTGAGTTCAATAAAACAATAGTGCCACACACAGGAGCTGTTTGAGGAAAAAAAATCTGACAAGTGTCTTGAAATACAACATCTGAACAGTGTCTTTGATGTGGGGGCAATTGTATAAGTGCAATTATTGATACTTTTTCATTGAGTTATTAGAAAATAATGCACCTGCAAGGTGTAACAGTAATTGTTCCTCTTACATACTAAATTACAAAATGAAATAAAATTTGCTATTTGGATGTAAACCATGCTAATATCAGTCTTTTCCCCCCATTATTTACATATGTTGTTTCTAATTCCTATTTATTTTTGCAGGTGAAATAATAAGGGTTTCTGTTGATATTGACAACTCTTCATCACGTGATATCAAGCTAAAGTACAGCCTTAAACAACTACAAACGTTCATTGCTGGAAGAAGCACTACTCATGCACACAAGGACATAGTCAAAGAAACTAAAGACTGCATCCCATCTGGAGGAAAGACACGATTTGTGGTGGACATCAAGCTTCCGCATGACATTATGGTCACCATTGAAAACTGCAGAATTATAAAAGTGCAATACGAACTCAAGGTGCTATTTTGTCTTCCTTATTATTGTTAGATTTAAAGGGAAAGGTTACCAAAAAAAATTATTTGCTCACCCTGATATCACTATCCTTCTGCCCTTACTTTCCTTCTAAAAATCACTTTTTCTTTCTGCCAAACACAAAATAAATATTTTGAAAAATGACTAAAGATATGAACAAAACATTCTCCAAAATTTGTGAATTGTGTTTCGGAGAAGAACATTTTTTAAAGTTTTGTGAATGAAAGACGTTTTGACAACCTCCACTCATTCAAGACTTTTTCTGTTCAACACAAAACAGGATATTTTGAAGAATTTTGGCAGCCAGTGGGCATTTACTTTAATGGTTTTTTTTTTCTATTATGGATGTCAGTGGGCAAGGCAGTGGCGCAGTAGGTAGTGCTGTCGCCTCACAGCAAGAAGGTCGCTGTTTCGAACCTCGGCTCAGTTGGCGTTTCTGTGTGGAGTTTGCATGTTCTCCCTGCCTTCACGTGGGTTTCCTCCGGGTGCTCCGGTTTCCCCCACAGTCAAAAGACATGCGGTACAGGTGAATTGGTAAGGCTAAATTGTCCATAGTGTGTGTGTGTGTGTGTGTGTGTGTGTGTGTGTGTGTGCGTGTGTGTGTGTGTGTGTGTGTGTGTGTGGATGTTTCCCAGAGTTGGGTTGCGGCTGGAAGGGCATCCGCTGCGTAAAAACTTGCTGGATAAGTTTGCGGTTCATTCCGCTGTGGCGACTAATAAAGGATTAATAAAGGGACTAAGCTGACAAGAAAATGAATGAATGAATGTATGTCAGTGGCTACTGGTTTTTAACATTCTTCAAAATGTTGTATTTTGTGTTGAAAGGTTTATTACCAGTTAAGGATGAGTAAATGGTGAGCAAATGAAAATAGAAAATTGGGTGAATCATCACTGTAATGTTCAGAAACTGTTAAATGAATGTTCATTTGTGGTAATAGTTTATATATGCATTCATTTTACAACATAAAGCACATTTCACAGCTCGTCTGACCGTCTCTATACATGACTGTCTTTCAGGTCTATCTGGATGTTTCATTTGCTTCAGATCCGACAGTTAAATTCCCGGTGGTCATTATTCCACCTTTACAGCAGTGTCCTCCCTGGCATGATCCACCTCCACCATACATGCCACCTCAGCCTAACCTAGTGCCCTATCCTGGTGGAGCTGCTCCACCACCTGCAGGACTGTACCCTAATCTGTATGATCCAGTGCCACCCTATCCAGGAACCGCTGCTGGGACCTTTCCGAATCCAAATGCCATGCTGCCTGGTTTCCATCCGGCTCCATCTGCTCCAGTTTATGATCTAAATCAAAGCACTAAAGAATCTTTTCCTAATGCGCCTCATTAGTTTCTTTCACCAGCCAAACTGACAGCCTCTTGTACTATGCTATATTAATAATATTGTCAGGGTTTTACCTCAATGCACTCAAGCTTTATGCCTGTTATTGTGCCTTGAAATTTGAGCACTTTTGCATATCATAGGTAATATACAGTAGTCTTCATTTGAAGTTAATCGAAATCGTTCATTAGTGTTGTCCTTTAAACAACAACCATTCTTGTCTTAGGACAATTTTGAAAAATTAAAAAGTATCCACTTCAAATGTTGACACTAGCCAGCCACTTTGTTAGGTAAATATTGCTAATACTGGGTTAAACCCATCTTTTGCCCTCAGAACAGCCTTAAGATTTAGTTCTTAGATTAAGTTCTGGAAATGGTTATCTTTGATTTTGTGCTATATTACCACTGGTTGGAAACCTTAAGACCCGTTCACACCAGGACGCTTTTTGTTTGCATTTTCTGTCAAATAAAGTTTGAGTAAGTTTAAGTTTCTGACTAAATAAAGGGCACCAATGTGATTGTGCACACCAACACGCTAAACGTGTTTTAAAGAAACGCATCTTGTTCGTTTTTTTCTTTTCATCTTCTCCACCAATCAGATTGCCACTTTCACTGATTCTAAGTTTTTTGACAACAATCATGTCAACTCTCTGTCTTCTGCACCATCTATCGTCAAGGAGTGATTTTGTATACTCTTCTGCTCGACGCCAATGAAAATCGCTTGCATTTGAATCTGGAACAAAGTCTTGAAAAACGTTGACAATAATCCCAAACGAAAAGCGTCCAGTGTGTACGAGGCTTTAGATTGCTATTAAGGTAAAATGGATTTTATTAATAAAATACTATTTTGAAATACAATTTTCCAAGTCTATTGTCTTCCTAGAGTTAATAATAAGCTAGAATAGCATTATTTTCATGCCACTGTACTCGACAAACAACAAGCGGCAGACTGGAAGTCATTCATTTCCAATGTAGAGTAGTCCGGGAGCTGCATGGAGTTCTGATCATCTCTGTATGCCAAAAGTTTGAATCTGATTTGAGCTGCAGACCATAAAAATAGAACTCCTGCGACTAGATCTTATGCAACAGGCACGCAAGATTAGAAATTGTATTTTTTTTTTTCGTTATTTTTGGAATAAGAAAAAATGTCTATATTAAAATTTAATTTCTATTCATAATTTTTTTTTTTTTTTAATGTTTAATGTCTCCAAATTCCTTCCAAAATGTTTAGGGTCTATAAGTTTCTAGTAGTCATTCATTCAACCATGATGAAGCCAGTTGCGTGGACCACTCATACTCCCACTTGTCAAATGAACCGGTATATGGAGGTCAAACGTTCACAGGCACAGTTTGGAAAGCCTAGTGTGAGTACATCTTTAGTTAAGGATAATCTGTTATGCAAGATTGAATTTTGATTGGTGTTTCACTCCAATAGACTTAACTGGGGCATGACATTGGGGTAGAGTCGGTGTGGTGGAAAACATTCATTACCCCTCAATTGTAAAGGAATAACGGAAACCTTGAGTTGTAGTAAAAACTTTTTTTGATCATTAAAAAAGACACTCCTGCCAAATTATGCATCGCTTTCTTGAAATCACTGTCGAATTCCCAAATCCAAGTCATTCTCCTTCGAAAATAACCATAGTACACAATAATCTACCTAATAGTCTACACTGGGGAATAAGTTGAGGCATAATCTGACAGGGATGCAATTTTTAGCTGCACGCAGATTTCTAGCATGACCATCACCAAACAAACGAAGTGTTGGGACAGTTACTAAGTTTGCACATTACCAACACTAAAACATAACCTGCAACTGTGTCTAACTTAATCAGAATGTTTGCTGTCTGCCTGTCAGATTGTATATGTCCTTTGGACCCTTCCAGAAAACATAATAAACACACATTACAACATGATGTCTTTAATTTACATGCAGTTTACTTTTAGGAACAAGGAAATGTAGACACCTGTCAAGTAAGTAAAACAAACCACACCATAAAAGAATGCATGCGCATGTTTCTTAATACCATAATAAACCAAAAGACTGATGAAAAACTAAAGTTGGAACATTTTCACAATGTTACGGGTATGTTTATTTGGCCGTAAGGATCCACCCTTTCATGTTGTTCAGACTAAATTTTGACCCTATCATCTGAATGTCTTAACATTAGGAGACTGAACAGACCCGGCATACTTTTTCCACACTTCTGTTGTTCAGTTTTTGCCTGTTAGGTTTGTAGCTTCAGTCTGCTTTTCTCAGCAGACAGGAGTGGCACTGAAATAGCTATTCTGCTTCAAGGTTCAATGTGCTATGTCTTCAGAGATAACTCCATTGTAACAAGTGATTATTTGAGTTAATGTTGCTTTACAATCAGCTCCAACCAGTATGGCCATTCTTTTCTTTGACTTTCAGCAAAGCATTTTCGCTAGCAGAAATGCTGGTCACTAAACATTTCCTCTTACTCCTGTAATCCCTAGTGATGGCCATGTTCAAAGACTAAAGTCACATGATTTCTGTTACGTTATAACTGTTTCGAATCATTTTAGACATTCAGTGATTCTCTACTAGTTGGGACTCCTTTAAATTTATGCAAATGAAGAGCGACTTTCTTGAGCAACAGCCAATAGGAGCACCAGTAGAGCTCACGTGATCCTCTCTCAGCTCACTCAGGCCCCGTTTACACTAGTGCGTATTAGTTTTAAAACGGCGTTTTAGAATGAAAACGATCCGCGTCCACACTCGCGTTTTACCCAGCGTTTCTGAACTGCTCTCCGTCCACACCAAAACGCTCAAAACGCACATCACGTGACCACACACACACACTTTGGCAATCGCTGGAGCCCATCTACCCAGATGAGAGCTCTGCTAGTCGGACTTCTCATCAAGCATCTCCCGCTGGATCTAATCTCACTATATTTATTAAACGTGATATTTCATTCATCTTGTTGTCTTTATCTAACGACATATTCCCTGACTTTGGTCACTGGAATCTATTACTTGTTCTCAGGTAACGTGTTTTGGCTGAGCGCAAAGATAAGTTAATGATTAATGTAAGCACGTAGCCTACATTCTGTATATTGACTGATCGCTTGCCTTTATTTCCTATAATGTATAAACTTATTGTATGTTATACTTTTATAATGGCCATTATCGATTATTAAAACTGATATTCAGCAAAAGAGAGGCTGTGTTTCGTATTTTCACTGAAATTGAAAGGAGGCAGTTGTTATCGGCTCCGTTTTGTTATAAATATGCACACAGTGAAGATGACGCTCATGCAGCACGACGCCTCAACATGTCTGCTGTCTGTTTAGTTGTTAATATTAAAATAAAAATAGGCAGTTCCTCATATCAAGTTTACATTTTATTGTTGAGAAAGTGAAACAACGTAGCCAAGGTGATGGGAATGAAGTTATAAAGTACACTGTTCCCTGTGAAGATTGACGCGTGTCCTCGGTATGTTTTCCATATCAAACTGAGAAGAAGAGATGCAGCCTTGATCAAACTTGCGAAGTCTGAACTTACACGGAGAAGATTCAGGACTGAACTGTGTGTTAGGCTACTTAATATTGAGGAAAAGCCCCAATCAGAGAGGCGAATGTCTGCAGCCCCGCCTCCGTTTTCAGTTATCTCCGTCTTTCCCCATCCACACTGAGACGGAGCAGCAGCGTTTTAGAATGAAAACGCCCTCTCCAGCGTTTTCGAAACGCTCCGTTTTCGGCGCTCGAGAACTCCGGCGTAGTGTGGACGGATGGCGTAACCGTAGCAAAACTTATGCGTTTTCAAACTAAAACGCATTAGTGTAAACGGGGCCTCAGAGGCAGGTTGTATTCTTTGTGCTGTAGACCTACACGGACCTGCGTTTGCAACCGGTCGCCACCCAGAGCGACACGCAGCTACAAAGTCACTGCTAGTGTGAATGAGGCATTATTTTTGTGTTTAGCTGAGCCCACCACTGAAAAAAAATAATAAAACTAAATGAGCATTGAAACTTATTTAAAATAATTGCATTAAGTAAAGGAAAAATGTCAAATTTGGTATGAGAGGAAATTTCATGCTGTGTTCACACCAGATGCGAAACACATGGATAAATCACTATCTTCGCGCGTAAATAGACACAAGAACATTTTGAGTTTACTCGCTTCATTTGCACGTCAAAACCCACTTCATTAGCGTGTCAAATTCACTTCAGAACAGACGCGGATTTACATCATGGCCAGGGCTTCTGTCTGCCCTGTGACTGTAGCTTCGTCCCTAAATGGCTAACAGAGACTTTATTAGGAAAATAACTGTGTTTATGTACTTAATGAAGGCGGAAAAACAGCGTTGATGCACTTGTAGCTGTGTCTGAGTCCACTAGATCCACAACAACAGGCGATGCGTCATAATCACACCCCCACAAGAGCAAGCTCCTGATTGGTTAACACGGCTAAAGTTCAGATTTTCGAACTCGAGCGATTCAAACTGACATAGGTGGTGATTTGAGCGGTTATGAATCTTAATTGCAAACAAGCAATTTGTAAACCTCTTTGAAGTGCAGCTGATCACAGACAGTTGGAACAGATCTTTTAATCCCAGTTTCTTTGCAAATCCTATTCTGTGGACATATTAATCCATGTTATTATTAATATACTGAGCCACGATAATATGTATATTTGTAAACAAATATAATATAATATATTTGCAAATATAATTATATTTGCAAGGCCAGGAGAGAAGTTTATAGACAGACACACAAGTCTTCACATTGTTTTATATACTTTGATCAGCAGCATGGACACAGGGAGCACCATTTAATAAAAACTGTTAGATAACATAGCCGATACCTGACACTGTAATGATACAATAATAATGCGAAGAAATGAACCATGCTCAAACATGTTTTGTAAATGTCTCGTAAGGTTGTCTTCGACTGTGAATGGCATCAACCATGACTTTGTGGTGTACACCACACCTACCAAATCAGGGCACTACTAGCAGTGAAAACACAAGCCTGATAAGGGTGACTCAAAGCGGATTTTGCTTCACCGCTCAGAGGAAACAAGGCATTGAATGTTTAGCTAACTGCATTTGATAGGTTATACTTTTGTAAAGTTCGTAGACAAACTTTGTTGTCTTGATGAACCCTCGTCTGAAAGTTTGAAGTAGTTTTTAAGAAGTTTAAAACAGTTGGCATAGATAACTACATATTGGTTAGCATGTTACTAGTATGGTGGTTGGTAGGGTGTTCTGAGTTGTAAGTAGACGGTTGCTATGGTGTTGCTAGGCAGTTCCTATGGTATTTTGAGTATTTGCTAAGCAGTTGCTAACATAAATTAACATGGTTCTAGTATGAATTAGCATGCTGCTAGCATGTTTCTAGTATAAACTAGCATGCTGTTAGCATACATTTAGTATGAATTACCATGTTGCTAGTACCTTTATAGTATGACTAGTAAATTGTTACGATGAACTAGTATTTTTTTAGTTTGTCCAATGTCAAGTCAATGGCAGTTTTTAACAATAAAAGTCTATAGGACAGTTGCTAGGGTGTCGTAAGTGGTTGCTAGGGTGTGGCTAGTATGTTGAAAGGTCAGTGATTCATCAGCCCAACCTTAAGTCTGTATGACAGTCTGGCATAAAGTTATGAGCTCACAAAGTTTGGTGCAATGTTAAGTTAATGGGACTTTTCTGAATTTTCTAGGTCTGTTTTCAAAAACCGTAAGTCGTATCAGTTGGAAAAGATAGCAACCCGAGTCAGACCAGTTTGGAGGTTTGATGTTAGTTTGGTGGTTATAGTATGAACTGGAGGAGATGCATAGAAATTAGTCTCAGAAGAAGAAGAATATTAAGTTTTTGTAGTATAGCAGTGTGTTGGCTTTCTTAAGTCACCATAATTAAACATTTGCGATGTGTTTAAAAAGACTTGTCTCACTGCACATTTATTTTTTTTTTTCATTTACGCAATTTTGACCAGCCGGAGTTCCTAGCTTGTGGTGTTTTCAATGCTTCGAAAAAGCTTTTTCAAAGCAATTGGTTCAATTCTAGTAATGCTTTGAAAATCTTTGTTTCTCCAACTCCTTTGACTAGTAAATACTAAAAATGGTTTGTGTAAAAGTCCTAACAGATCAGCAATTTCTGAAATAATCAGGCAAGCCATCTGACATTCACCGTTCTGAAGCTGTGTTTGACCTTTCGCTTCACCACTTTCATGCCCAATTGCTAATTTGCTGCATGTGTTCAGCTGATTAAATAAGTGTATTGAACAAGTATAAAATGGCTGATGAGCATTCTCTACATACGCTAATCTGAAAAATCCTTTATCACAGCACTATAACATCCTTTTTAAAATACCTCCTATATCTGAACATTACTACTAAGATTTTTTTGAACACTGTGTTATTATAAGAACATACTGCTGCTTTTGGTGTCACACTATTAGCACCGTATTGTATTTAGTTCCATTAGTTGTATTTAAATTATACTTTTTTTTTTTTTTTTTCAATTCAGCTTTATTTGTATAGCGCTTTTACAATGTAGATTGTGTCAAAGCAGCTTCACATAAATGGTCATAGTAACTGGATCAGGGTAGTTCAGTTTTTAATGTTTAAGTTCAGTTTAGCTCAATTCAGTGTGGTTTGAAATTATTATTGAGAGTCCAAACACTGAAGAGCAAATTCATCGATGAGTAGCTTTTCAGATCCTGAACCATGCAAGCCAGTGGCGACAGCGGAGGGAAAAAAAACTTCACCAATAGGAGAGTGAAGAAAAAAAAAACCTTGAGAGAACCAGACTCAGTTCGGCACGACCATTTTAATTATGAAGAATGACAGGACGAAGAAAATACAATGAAATAAAAAGGTTTGACAATACACAAGGATGCAACCTCGTTGTCACTTTCAGACTGAGTAAATGGTAATTAAACATTTTGTTTATCTTATAAACCCCTTCCACACATACACACCTTTCCGGGAAATTACCGGAAATTTTCCGGAAAGGTGTGTATGTGTGAACAGGCCCTTTTTGAAAATACCGGTAAATTCGTTCTGGCTATTTTCCGGAAAGAGAAGTTGTAACATTACGGGTAATTTGCCGGAATGCTGCACTGTGTGAACGCAGAAGGAAGATTGCCGGAAAGAGCGCATGCACGTCTAGAACGTGCTGACATGAGACGTCTGCTTTAGCCAATCAGAACAGTCAGACGCATTCACGTCCACGCAGTTTATGAGAATAAAAGCCTTTGAGTAATTTTCCAGACACATTTAGCTGCTAGAAATTAGTCAGATAACGTTTATATGTTCATCTTAATGCCAACCGTGTTATTAATTATTGATAAGATGCTTATGATAAGCCGTTGTTTGTTTACCTTCAAGCTTTGCGTGTGCCCAGCACACACCCATATCATGTACATCTCGACTTGCGAAAGTGTTTCTCTATATGTTTTCATCTAAGTTGTTCACAATACTGATCCATCCACAGAGTTTGTGATGTAGTCAAATGTTTAGAAATACAAGCGCAGCCATTTAGAACTCATTTCTGGTTAATGATATCAGACTTTACCGGTATTTTGGAATGGATGTGTGAATGGTCTTTTCCAGAAAAATTCCGTAACGTCCTCGCCTGTGTGAACAGCGCTTTTTTGAATTTACCAGTAAAGTTGTTCCGGGAATTTTCCATATATTTACCGGTATCACTGTTTGAAAGGGGCTATTGACTGTGCTTATATTATAGACTTTTCTTGACAGTCAGGCCCTCAAACCAACAGGATCTCCTTCTATAATAGTGTGAAGCTGTTTGTTTAATATGCATTGTATTCTGTTTTGAATGTTTCTGTTAAGGACTTTATTTTGGTGTTGCGTCCTCTGCAGGGAAGGGTGTGTGTGTAGGAGGGACAGCAGGTAGAGTGTGATGAGAGGAGACTCGTGTCGATCTCCTCCACAGTTTTTGCTCAATAAAATAGTTAGTCGTCAGTATTTTCAAGTCCATCGTCTTTATTTACCTTCACCCACGCGCAGCCAAAATCCACGCCTTACAATAGCAAACTCTGAACTAAAAGATCAGTGCTGGTCCGGGAAGTGACACGCCTTCAAATAAAAAACCTCTTCAAAGCATGACCTTTGTCACTCTGATTTCAACCACGGAAACGGGAAGAGCAAATGTGATTTCTTGGAATGAAAAAATGCCTGGTTCCATCAAAGTCCTACGTCTTCAATATGACCAGATTAATGAAAGCAATACTTTTAATAGTGGGGATATTGTAGAGGGACGAGTTCTCTTGGAAGTGACTAAGAACTTAACTGTGGACAGTTTATTTGTGAAGTTTACAGGTGGTGCAAAAGTATACTGGACTGAAGGTGAAAGTAAATATCATGACCATGAGAGATACTTCAAACTAAAGCAAGATCTCACTCCGGGACGCTCGGGAAAAGGTGAAGTTGCAATTTTAAATAATTTTAAAAATGCAATTGCACTAGTGCTATTTAATAATCATTATATATACTGCTAGTGTGATTTCACCAAGTATACGACCTGTTCATGAAACAACATTCCAGTCAGCCAATCAGAATTAAGAGATAAGTTTACATGCTAAGTATAGGCTCAATTTTGCGGTTATGTGCTTCTACATGGTTGTTATCTAACCATTATTCCGTTCTGATTTAGGAAATAACTTACAGTTAGGGTTGGCTTTAGGAGTAGGGATAGATGTTAATCCAGGATCGCATCCTACTTAACAAATCACACCCTCCATATGTAATAAAATGTAATGTGAGTATTTATATATTTGTTTATCATGTATGCAATGAGGTACTGAAGAGTACTGAAAAATCATACTTAAGTAAAAGTATCATTACTTGCCCAAAAATGTAGGGCAAGTAGAGTAAATTTGACCAGAATACATTTCTTTACGAGAAGTGCCATGGGATTTTTAATGACCACAGAGAGTCAAGACCTCGGTTTAACATCTCATCTGAAAGATGGTGCTCACCTTTACTATACTGGGGCATTAAGACTCACACAGACCACAGGTTGAGCACCCCTAGCTGACATCACTAACTAAACAGCAACTTAGTTTTTCCAAGTGGGTTCCCATCCAGGTATTGGCCAGGCTCAGCCCTGCTTAGCTTCAGTGAGTAACCAGTCTTGGGCTGGAGGATGATATGACTGTGGCCATCTAGGCATACATTCATAACATAGTGAGTGAACTTACAAGCCAAAGTAACATACCAGATGTTTGTACATATTGCAGAATTTATATGACTTGTTTCTTGCTGTGACATTGACAGGAAATTAAAATGTTCATCATTCTTGTAATCTTAATTTTTAACTTTTTAAGTGACACTATCATCTTTTTTGTTTGTTTGTTTGTTTTTCTTTCAGAACGACAAATTATTAGTCCAGGACGACATGTTTTACCATTCAAATTCCAGCTGCCTGAACAGTAAGTTATTTTATTGATGAATAGGTGTGTATTTTCAAATATATATTCATTCTTATAATTATTCTATGGTGTTTGCATATTAATTGCTTATTGATGTGAAAGGTTTGCTTTATTAATATTATATGTGATTAGTATGGATGCTCCGATTGATCGGCCGAAGATCGGTATCTGTCGAAAATCACATTTGATGAGTTGATCGGTACTCGCCGATCTAGCCAATCTCACGAACCAATCGCAGGTGTTTTTGTTCATGAGTTTACAAATAGAGAAAGATGCAAATTTACTCCCGTATATTTTGCATAGCCTATAGCAGTTATAACACAGGTGAATGATGTGTGGGGGCATTATCGATCGATGCACTTCTGTCACGGCAGCTAAAATATATACAAATGCGGTGCGACCTGTTTATACAGTCTATTTGCGCGACTTGCGCTACTGATGCTCTCTTTGTTGCAAGTGCAGCCATAGTATTTTCAGTGTTTTGAGCTGCTGTGACGAGAGTGGAGTGATCGCATCCATCTACTGTCTTATCCAACCTTATGACCTCTCCTGGAAGCTCCGCGAATCTCCCAAAAATTCAAAACGGCTCCATGATGCACAATAATTAGTTAAAATATCCAGAAATAATGGCAGCAAGATTGAATTAGCTAGAGAACAGCTTGTGAGAGGTGCAGTGCTGTTTTAAGCATTTAATTTCTAAGGTTAAATGAATAGAGCTGTATAAATATTGCAAGTTCTAATTCCCCTCTCTGTCATAGAGAGATCTGCTGTCAATAGTTGGAGATGAGCAAAACATTTAAATGGTCTAGCATGTACTGTATTTAGGCCTTTTTATTTATAACAACTGAAAGTTCTGTGTTTTTTATAATATTAGCAGTTCACTAAAAGTTGGCTGGCGTTACTAGATAAATGCAACTTTTTTAACATGAATATTTAGTAATATAGCTTCTTGTAATACACTCAATGATACAAACAGTAGTTCATAGGCTTATTTCCATTTAGTAAGAAAGTAATGGATTTTTAGGTGTGAATTTTAAATTCTCATGCTTTAAATGTGCGCTCCAAACTTTTACTAGATTGAGACATGTTGAATTCTTCTTTCATCATTTGCAATGTTTCCAAATTGCATTGCTTGTCATTTTTCTTACCAATTTTTATATCTGTGTTATAATATTTTTGTGGCAGTTCATTTCACCGTGATGACCCCTGACTAAGGGACTAAGCTAAAGTAAAATAAATGGAGGAATTATTTTCTGTAAAGCTGCTTCTGGCCGTGATCTGTTCACATTTAAATGGTGTAGCGAATTAGCTCAAAGTGAATTGAAGATTCATTTGATCGAGGCTTCAAAGGAATCAACTCTTTAAATCCGAACAAATGAATCATTCATTGATCGTTCGAATGGACAGTTGACTTTAATTACAGCTATACCTATAAAAAAAATTTAATAAATCATTTATGTTAAAGACATTAGATTCATACATATGCGCAGACACATTTCTTATACAAAATGAAACTCTATTAACTAATCTAACAGAAACTGACACCTAACACAAACACACATTCATACAAGTGTAGAGAAGAGTAAAGAAAGTAAAATAAGAGTTTGAGAGAGTGGAATGATAGAAAAACTGCAGATTTTGTAAGAGCAAACCAAGGGAATCAAAAATAATCAATTTGACCCATTTATGGTTTCTTTAGGGATACATTTAGTTTACACTAGTTCAGTTGTAATCTGGAGGTGTTACTTGTGTTCCTTCTGTTGAGCATGTGGTCAGCTGGTGGTCAGTTCTTTGAGCTTGTGAGGTGGAGTCTGGATTTGCAGTAGGGCGAAAATTGTAGTTGTTTTGACTTTTGGTTCATCGCACAATAAACTTGAGCTGACTCTTGATGGAAAGAAAAGAAAGTTATCGGAGATGGGAATGTCTGAGCTGTGTGGTTAACCCATTTTGTCAGGGTCCACGCCTGTTCCCTGGAGTTCTCTGGGTGTTCTCCTGGGGTTCTTCTAGATTCACGTCTGGGTTCTAATCTGGGCGGTGGCCTTAGACACAAGCTTTTAAAAAGATGGTTTTGTACCCACCCTCCGGAGCCAAGTTGCCCAATGAGAAGTTAACTCCCTCGAGGCACGTTTTATAATCCATATAGTTAAGAAGCGTAGTGATTTGCATAGGCATTCTGGCTGTAAACGGATGCAGAGATGTTTAAATTGTCTTAAAATGTTGCACGTGTATTAACATAAAATGAAAACAATCATTCAGTACACCAGATTAGCTTTGCAAGGACATCAAGCATGAACCATCTATGACCTTGTTTAGCTGTGGTAGAGTTAAAAATTGATTGCAGAAGTATTAATACGCCAGAGACTTGGCACCAAACACTTGATTACATATTAAAGGAGAATAAAGAATCCTTAAGAAAGGAGCTTATGGAATTTGACCATGTCTGTGTCCATTTTTTGAGCATTCCTTCGTGTCGTAAATACTTTGGAATCATATTACACACTAAACATCCAGTCTTTTCTGGGTAGGAGAACTTGACAGTATGTTATTTGTTGAATAAAACCAAAATAATTATGTGTCTGATTGGCCACAATTGTTACAATGGTCATAGGATTATAAGATAAGGTATTATATGCAGCATCCTTAATTTATTCTCTTAGGTAAGGCAATGTGCTTAATGCATTATAAAGCTTGAAGCATTAGAGTTGGTACTCAGCATCGGCCGATCACTATGACAAGGAATCAGTACTCTGTATCGGCTGCGTCTGAGCATTCCTAGTGATTAGTAAAATTCTAAAAAAGGTATTGTCATGCATATTGTCAGTTATTTTATTTACTTGCTAATACATATGTATTACCAGTAATTTGTGAAAAAAAGTTAAGTTTTTTTTTTGTTTGTTTGCTTTTCTCTCCAGAAATTTGCCTCCATCTTTTAAAGAAAAGGTATCCGGATTTAATTGTTGGATTAGATATGCCTTGACAGCAAAGCTAAAGAGGCCTTTCAAGTCAGCGTCTACTGCATATGCAGAATTAACCTTTGTGCCCAGAAGTCATGTGACCAATGATCATTTACTGGTATGACTTATGGTATATAACACAAGCTTTAGCATTTATATATCAATTAAAAAATATATATGCTTATGTGTCAAATTTTTTTTTTATACAGAAACCACAAAATCGCACCGATAAGATGAAGAACACATTCAGCTCAGGAAAAATATCACTGACTGCAACAACAGACAAAACTGGCTATATGTTAGGTGATTGTGTGCTTCAGACACTAATGGTTTTGTATATTTTTACTATTTATTCATGTTTGCCCTAATTCCATATAACTGATGCAGGAGAAACAATCAAAGTTTGTGTAGACATCGACAACGCTTCATCTCGTGATGCCAAGCTGAAATACAGCCTCAAACAACAACAGATGTTTATTGCTAGCAGGACTACAAAAAGAAGCAAACACATAATCCAAGAGACTAGCGACTGCATCCCATCCGGAGAAAAGCGTAGATTCTTGGTGAACATCAAGCTTCCACGTGACATAATGGTCTCTTTTGAAAACTGCAGGATTATAAGAGTGCTTTACCTGCTTAAGGTGCTATTTTGTGTTCCTTTTAAACCAATAGTTGTCACGGAACAAAAAAAAAAATATGATAATCATATCATAATGCCTCCATCCAAATGTATATGATTTTCTATCTTTCTTTTCTTTAACACAAAATTTCTTTTCCATATCAGTTGGCTTTAATTACAGAAGTGTTTATATAACCCACGGATAGATGTCAGGTGAAAGGTTTATGTGATTTGTCTTCAATTTCAAAAGTTCCTTTTACAGCATGGATAATGTCGTTTAAAGGGGACCTCTCCGCTTGTTGGGTGGTGACGTATGTAATACTGTTTCCGGGTCCAAGCCGTCACTCATTTGTGTTGAGAAATTATTTGTTTATGATCAATATCACACATTAAAGTGAATTTTATATAAAGTCATAGTGTACACAACAATCTCTGGGCTTGCTCCATAACAAATACCAAAGTTTTAACAATTTATTATAAATGAATCACTTTCTGGCCATCTGATATTAGGCATGGACATATATATATATTGCAATCGTGATTTTTGAACATATTAAAGCGCTTTGTACATGTTTATTATTACCATTTCATGAGTTTCCTCATACAGTTGAATAAAGCGCTTGGACCCAGAAGCTGCTTCGCGTGACATCACACTTAACAAGCGGATTACCCCTTTTTCAAGTCTTTTGTGTCTCCAGAATGTGTCTGTAAAATATCAGCTCAAAACACTCATCAGATTATTTATACTTTTGAGAACTCTTTAGTTTCAGCTTTGAGCACATTGTAGCTGTTTTTGTTGCCTGTGCCTTTAATACAAATGAGCTAGCTCTCCCCGCCCACCATTCCTACGTGCCTGTCAGAGCCATATCCTGCTGCGACAGATAAACATCACGGACAGACATGAAGGAAGCAGATCTCACGTAACGTTGGTGAGAAATACTAAAGTAAGAACTTTACCAATGATTATTTGATGTATTTTTTCTAGACAAAGTTTTAATCCCAGTTGCTTTATGCACGTCCTGTCGTGTTGATATGTTTATAAGTGTTGCTACAGAGACATGTTAATACGCGGCGGTAATGAAGCGGTCCTTAAATAAAAAAAAAATAAAATGTAAAGAAAGGAATTAAAATAAATGTGGGGCCATGCATTATTTCATCCTTTGAGAACCAATTGGATTGTTGAAAGATGGGCGTTGCTAACAAAATAAACTAGGATTGATGAATGTATGAAGGCAGAAATGAGAACTTCGCCGAAAGGTGACCAGGAGACAAGAAAAGTCATTCCGAAGAGGAGTTTAAAGGATATGATTTTGAATTAAAGATTCATAATATATATATATATATATATATATATATATATATATATATATATATATATATATATATATATTTTTTTTTTTTTTTTTTTTTTTTTTTACAAAATAATGAAGTGCACAGATACAGATAACTATAACAAGCACTACTATATACATATAAAAAGTAAGAGAGTACATTTTGATTTCATTCCAGCTTTAAATTTGCCATAAAATTGAAATGTACTCTTCTTATTTAAATATGGTTGTAGTAGTTCTTGTTATAAACAATATATCTGTGCACTTCTTTGTTTTGTAAATAAAAAGTATTTGCCATCCTAATCTTTGAACAAATGCCATAACCTTTCTGTCCCCTCAAAACTAAAATCTTCTCTTCGTGGTCACATGGAATTATTTTAGGGAAGGTATATCAAGTGTCTTGTTTCTGCTTTGAATTCGTCCATTCATCAATCTTTCTTCGTTTATTAGCAAGGTGCATCTTTCAACAATCCTTTCGGCTCAGCATTTTCTTTACTACACTGGACCTGTACATCGACCAGTTCAGACAAAGTCCGGAATTTGGTCCATACCTGAGTTCATTTGTCATTCTTAGACTGCTATGCCAGCATGGTGAAAATAACCCACCGAAAAAGGCTTTAAGACCAAGCTGAATCCTCTGTTGCCTGTCGCTTGAGTGTGACTTAGCTAATCAGTTATGGCCAATGCCAACAAATATTTTTTCATGTGTCCAATGTGGTTATGATGACTATCTGACAAGCTAATCCAGAATAGTGCTTAAAATGTCAATAAAATGCAGTTTTTAAATTTCATAATTAAATAGAAAATGAGGCAAATAATTGCAAAAAAAAGAAAGAAAACTTTTTGAAAAAGGAACCTCTTTTCACCAGGCTGGCTATGGGCCTGTTACTGCTGCCGCTGCATTGATCCACCTGACAATCTCATGTTTCAACTGTGATGTAATTATCTGAGTAGGCTATATGCAGACGGACTTTTAATTTCCAGTAACCTGGGTCAACACCTTCCAGGGAAATGTATGCCGTTACAAAATCAGCATGTTTAAGGTCTTTTTTTCTTTAAAAATTAACAATCTTCATTGCCTGATTGATATACGATATAAAATGGGTCTCTGAATGTGCAGGAATCACTGCATTAAATTATATCTTTCCACATCATGTCTTCAAAATATGAAAATTAATTTTACCCCAGTATTTTCAATAGTTTCTGTGCTAGCCTACTGCTAGCCTACTTGTTTTATGCTTTAACAACCATATGAATGCTGAAGTCTATGTACCTGATTGTATTTTAATTACATTACAACAACAATGCTGTAAAGGGATCTATATAAAATTGAAACAAGTCACATTAACCATTCATCTGAAGTTTGTTGGTGTGGGAAGAAACACTAGCTGTGCATGTATAATTTCGACAACAAATTGTCAGAGCTCAAACAACCTTTCGCATCATTGTCTTTTAGGTCTCTCTGGATGTGTCATTTGCTTCAGATCCAGCAGTTAAATTCCCTGTGGTCATTATTCCACCTCTACAGCAGTGTCCTCCCTGGCAAGATCCACCTCCACCATATATGCCACCTCAACCTGTGCCTCATCCTGGTGGAGCTCCTCCTCCATTTGCAAGACTGTATGATCCAGTGCCGCCCAATCCAGGAGCCGCTGCAGGACTGCCTGGTTCACCGTTTGGCTTCGTCTCCACCAGTTTATGATCCAAACTAAAGAATCAAACCTCTGGCTATAATTGATATGCTGTTTCAATCATACCTTAATGGTTTTATCTTATTAAAGTGACAATTGTTATGTATTATACACTACTTTTCCTAGTTTTACACTGATTTTTTTTTCCACTGTCAGTTTGTTCACTGAGGAAATAATGAATCATTTGAATAAGACAAAAAGGTCTGTACATATGTATCAAAATTATATATCCAAGATGTAGAAAAGACTCTGAGTTTTACATATGACAGGGTAAAACTTTACATCATCTGCAAATGAGATCAACAGTAGCAGATTGCTCAGATATCAATAATGCCACATGGAATCTGTACATGCAGATTTCTACAGATTTTCACATTCTCATTCATTTAGCAGACACTTTTATCCAAATCAACTTACACACCCAGAGCAGTGGGCTGCCCGGGGAGCAGTTGGGGGTTCAGTTCCTTGCTTAAGGGAATCACCTCACCTCAGTGGTATTGGGGTGGATATTATTTCACACTTCCCACCAAAAATCCCTGCTGCTGAGGCATGAACATGCGACTTTTGGATCACAAGTCCAACTCTCTAACCATTAGAATATAATATTTATATTAATTATGTACAATACAGTTTGTACATTATTTTTTTGTCTTTTGGTATATACTATTTTATCTGAGTTACTTTGGTTACCAAACAAATGGTAATTGTGTTTGTAAGTCCAAATAAGAGAGTCGTCATGATGGACTAGGTTTGATCCTTGTTACGTCCTTCCCCTCTGTGCCCTGCGCTCAGCTGTTAGCCCTTGTAATCAGTGCCAGCACTGATCACCAGACACTTGTTCTAGTTTTACTCTTATTGGCATCCTTGCTTTTATTTCCCTCTCTTGTCAGTTTATTGTTGTTACGCGTGTAGTCTCTAGTCAGCAAAACTCTGCTTACCTTCTTTGCTTTGTCCTGTCTCGTTCAACGTCTGCTTGTACGACTTGACATATGAACTGTGAGGTTTTGTTTCACGTGTCGCTGTGCTCAGACTGCCAGCTCGTTGATGTCAGGTGTTCTTCATGTAGCTGTGTGCTAACAGAATCCTCCAGCCTTCCTCTCTGTACAGGCCGAGCTGGTGGCTTTTATGTTTTTAGAACATCCAGCTCTGTGTTCTACTTCTTAGTTCTGTTTTTTAATCGGCTGAAAGCCTAATTTTGACTTTGATACAATAAACTCTGTTAACCTACCTTTGTCCAGCATTCTGTCCATAACAAGAACGTTTTTACATTTTTCATGATGTTATTTTACAGTAGTTTATGGTTTGTGACAAGTTGTCAGATGGAAAGAAAACAATTCTTGATGAAAAGTCAATTCTTGAGGTGCAAATAAAATGCCCCCGTGTCGTACTCTGCAATTGTTTATGTTTGTTCTGTTTTGTCCTGTTGTCCTGTCTTGAGTCACAATCCTACTACTAGTTTCACTAGAGATTAAATGTTGGACATTCGGATGCGTATGTAACCCCACCGGTCCTACACCACCCAACTCGCGCCCAGCTGGGATCGAACCGGCGACCTTCTCCTTGAGAGTCGGGTGCTAATGACCATGGCCTCTAGTGTTTGTCACTAGAGCACCTTTAGAGGTCAGAGGAGTGAAGTTTACCTGCACAGCTCTTACTAGCTGGCCTCCATTACACTCACCCCCCTAAACCTCACTCCCATCCGGGTCATGACAGCAATGTAACACCGCTGGTCCTACACCACCCTACCCGCCCCGAGCTGGGATCGAACTGGTGACCTTCCCCATGAGAGTCGGGTGCTCTAACAAGGAAGCTAAAGACCATGCCCTCTAGTGTCTGTCACTAGAGCACCTTTAGAGGGTCAGAGGCGTGAGGTTTACCTGCACAGCTCTTACTAACTGGCCTCCGTTAAACGTACACCGCTAAATATTTTTCCAGACTTGAATTTATTTGATGTTTGGTTGGAGATTGTAGTCGGCAACGCCGCGGTGCTGCTCAAATGCAGTCAAGCGCGCTTGTGAAACTCAGACATCGCTGATTTCAAACCACGTTGCCTAGCATCCAAACTCATTCTGCTCTCTCAGACAAACAGGGATTTTCTGCAATTAGCTGCTATGTGTTTCACGGAAACCTGGCTAAACGACACCATAATGGACAACGTGCTTCATCTACCAGCCATCAGCTGTTCAGGCTGGATCGCAACAAAAAATCGAAGTGGAAATCGTGCGGTGGCGGGACGTGCTTTAACATCAATGAAAGGTTGTGTACAGATGTAACAGTTTTAAAGAAGATGTGCTGTTCCGATCTAGAAGCACTGTTTATTAGCTGCAAGCCTTTCTACTCGCTGTGTGAGTGCTGCTCGTTCATCCTCGTTAGTGTTTACATTCCTCCACACGCAGCGCTGGCAATACAGAAACTAGCTGATCAGGTCACGGTGACCCGGACTGTGTTTTAACCATTCTCTGGGATTTTAACAAAGCAAAACTATCCAGTGAACTACCAAAATATAGACAGCATGTTACATGTCCCACAAGAGACAGTAACATATTGGATCACTGATATTCCAACGAGCGGCTTTGAGGCACTTTGAACATTGTTTGATTCATCTCATATCAACCTACAGGCAGAAACTGAAAACAGCCAAACCTGTATTAAAGATCTGAAAAGATGGATTAATGAAACAGAACAGGATCTGTTTCAACCTCACTGACTGTAGTGTTTTTGAAGCTGCTGCAAACGATCTGGATGAGCTCACAGAGACTGTAACATCTTATGTCAGTTTCTGTGAAGAAGTGTGCATTCCTACCAGGACTTAACTCACATACAACAATGACAAACATGGTTCACTGTAAAACTCAGACAGCCATGTCAAGCCAAAGAGACTTTTTACTGGAATAGAAAGAGCCTTGTATACGCAGGCCAAATACACCCTGGAAAAGGAGATCAGAGTCGCAAAAAGGAACTATTCTGAGAAACTAAGGAGTCAGTTCTCTTCCAGCGACTCAGCATCCTTGTGAGAAAGTTTGAAAAATCACAATCACAAGACACGATCCCCCAGCACTGTAGACACAACGACCTGCAAACAACCTGAATGATTTTTATTGCAGGTTTGAGAAAACTCCACCCACTCTGAACTGCTTATAACCCCACCATTAACACCTCTACCATCTCCCACCTCCCCCATAACTACACTTCAGTTCAGTGAAGATGATGTGCGCCTTCTGTTCTGGAAACAGAAGAGGAAAAAAGCACTAGATTTTATAACACCAGCTTGTCTAAAATCCTGTGCCGACCAACTGGCCCCCATCTTTACCCTGATCTTCAACAGATCACTAGAGCTGTGTGAAGTGCCCTCCTGCCGTAAATGCTCCACCATCATCCCCATCCCAAAGAAACCCAAACTTACAAGACCAAATGACTACAGACCAGTGGCTCTAACATCTGTAATCATGAAGTCTTTTGAAAAACTGGTGCTGGCCCACCCCAAGGACATCACTGGACCCTCACTGGACTCTCTTTAGTTTGCCTACAGAGCAAACAGGTCTGTGGATGATGCAGTCATGGTACTGAAGTGGGACACTCACATTGAGTCTATTGTCAAAATAATAATAATAATAATAATAATAATAATAATAATAATAATAATAATATGTGTTGTAATATTTCAATCATTTATATTCCTATATATTCCTAATCCTATATATCCTTATTATATCCTATAAATATCCTTAATATTTTATTTTTTTCATATGTAAAGAAATTTGCATATTGCTGTACACCCTGTCTGTATTAAGCAATGTGTAAGCGAGCCGCACAACTAACGCGCTCTGTGCTGGACAATAGACCAGCTTTGATCTGATCTATTGAGAGGGGTCTGGCTGCAGACTCGGTCCAGATGCAATCTGTGCTGCATCCAATGCTTTTTAATGGTCTCACCTAACCCCACCCCTAACCCTACCCGTCACAGTGACGTCACTTGCTCCATTGAGTGCATTGTGTCTGACATTGCATCTCTGAGCGATGCAATCTCAGCTTGCATCATTAAACTGCATTCAGATACTATTGGATCTATTTGAACCTTTGAAGTTCCTTAAAATAGCAACGCGCCTCAATACGCCTTCTTTTTTAGACTAGAACGCCCATGGGCACACATATGAGCGCAAATGCATTTGCTATTTAAACAGTGTGGCTCAAAACGACTCTTGTGCCAAGCTGAAACTAGCAAACAACTATTTCACCGTGCCTTGCGCCGCATTGCGCCGGGTGTATGAATGGGCTCAGAGAAATGAAAATCAGAGCATAACGAGACTGAGCATTTACAATGGCCAAATCCAAACCCAAACTTTTAAAGAGGTGCAGAAGTGAGACTTTTCTTCCTTTCTTTTGTCCATTCTTTATGTTTATTAAATTGATCAGCAAAAAAAACAATAGTGCAAAATAAATATTTCTTACTGCAATGCTTCATGTTTTTGATGCAAACCATATATTTATTTTTCATAAAGTAACTAACTTTTTATAGCAGATAACTTACATTCAAGGCAGCATGATAATGAGAACTGTTATTCATTGTTAGTATTATTGTCATCTTCGTCATCATTATTATTTTTAATTATTAGACATTCATTTTGGAATTATTGCGCAAATATCAATAAGTCATCACAGCATTAGTTAGTTGTTTAAGTTGCAGTGGTGCTTATTAATTTTGGTGGGTGCTCCTAATTTTTTTTCTGGTGCTCCTAAACTTTTGAGGTTGGGAGCACCGGCAATTTCAAGCCCTGCATTAGACAAATACTGTTTTTTTTAATTTGATTCTTATTTTTATTTATTATTCATTATAATATTATATATTATTTATTATAGTCATTTATTTACAGTGTAAAATTAATCTGTTTAAATGTCAAAACTTATTTTTAAGCACAAAGAGAGAAATTTACTATTGTTTGTTTTTTATTTTATTTTGTGCTGCATTAATTAGTTACTGAGCAGCAATAAATAACACTGTAAAATATAAGTTTTCATCTTATTTTCTAAACTAGTGGGGTTTGAAATTAATGAACACATAATAATCATGATAACCGTAAAACCGTGATTATTTCTCAGACTATATATGTACAACCTAAATCTATAATCATTGAATCCCTAACTATTTATAACATTTGTTTTTAGCAGAACACGTGAATATTTTAACTATTTAAAATGATAGGCATTGTGAAATGCACTTACACAAGTTTGCCAATTACGACATATTGCAATTAGCAAACGCTCCCTGAGCGACATTGCGCTGAAGGAATTTAGAAAATCAGCACGGCGCAATGTAAGTGTGCAGTCTGGGTAGCTTTTAAGTACACTGTTCAAGACAACAACAATTTGACTTGATACACAGACTTATTTTAGAAACCTTAAAATATTTGAACATATTTTAATTATTAATTGTAGATTCTTATTTAAGCCTTAAAACATATCAGACTCTGCATCTGAAGTGATAGACAGAGATAGAGCACACTCAAAAGTTAACAAATCATAAACCCGGGTTTAAAAGGGCAACACCTTTGTGTTAAGAATAAGACAGGCAGCCTGTGTATGTATTTTATTGCCTTAATGTCATCGTTTTCATCGTTAAAATAAATGCTCTTCTCTAAAAATGGCAACATAAAGTATCAGAGTAGATTGGACAGTAATTGTTGAACAGTAATTTACCATTCAAGGTCACAGTTACTACCTGTAATGTGTACATAAAGTAACTTTGTAATTTTATTCTTTGCACTACAAAAAAATTTTATACAATATCTTGTTTTACAGTAAAATACTGTCTTGTTTTATTACAGCAAAACACTTTTAAAGTTATTTACTGCATAATCTACAGCAATTGGTAACAGTGGGGTTTAGATATTACTGTTAGTCTCAGCCTAGATATCCCACCAAGTAATGGCAACAGACCTCTGGCTAAACATATGTATGCGGCACACTTTTTTGGATGGGAGTCACAGAGGTAGTGGCCAACACAAAAGCATCTGAACAAATAAAGAAGCTGTCATGATTACTTTGTTGAAAATGCTCATCCACAGAGATACAATAAACGCAGGTTTCTTAAAATTAGTCATAATATCTATAAATGATGCAAGAGCTTTGCTTGAGGTAAAATCTAAAAAAAAATTATTTAACTTGATTGCCAACTGAATATGGCAAAAGACCTCTGTGTAACGACAAAAGACTGGTTTCATTTCTACTTCGCTTTGGGTAAATGCAAATTCAAGCAAACATTACCATCCCCGAAATGATTGCACACAAAAGAAAGTTCCTGAATGTCAACAGACCTTCTGACAAATCAGACCAGCCCTAAACATTCAATATAGCTTTCTACTAGTTTTAAGGGAGACAGACAGACAGGCAGACAGACA